CACGGGATCCTCCGGGTCCTCCGTTCGGCTCGCTCGCGCGCACTCGTTATCCGGACTTGAATTAAATTCGAAACCTTTTCTTTTCTTTCTTTCCTTTTCTTCACTTTTTTTTTTCCTCTCTCTTTTCGTCGACCGTTTTTCTTCTCTGTCGAGTACAATCTTGCGCGGTCGCCGCGGCCGAAGGACATAGCGCTGCGTGTCCGTCGAGATTATATATATATACATATTTATATATATGTTTATATATGTGTATGTATATATATATATATATCCCTTTCCATCGCTTGACAGTTTGTCCCCGGCGCTACCGCGGCAGATGAAAGATTTACGAGCCGTGTTACGTAATCGAATGCCACTCCAGGTATTTCGGTGAAATTCGTTAGAAATAATCATCGGAAAGTGCCGAGACCGATGGTATCTCTCCGTCGATGCACCGGAAGTCGGCCAACGACGCGAGATTTTTTTCTTTTCTTTTAATCCCTCGACCTTGAATTTGTGCCGAACAATCGGATGTAGGATTATTGTTAGAGATTTGTGGACGTTGGGGGATTCAACGTGAATTTAACAGTGATTCCATTGAATCGTTCAGAAAGGTAAGAATTGCTACCAAGTGCTGTGTTAGACGAGAATATAAAAAATTGTGAATAGAAATTTTGAAATGGTACTTGGGTACCCGGTTGTCTACGCAACGGCTTATGTTGGTAACCGAGAGCTGTCAAAGGACAGTTTCCAGCATCATTTCAATTTGCCTTCATCACATTTCCTTAACACTAGGTTTACGGGACGCGTCATTTTGAAGCATTTCGAGTGCCTTCTAATCTCGAATTATTCCCTGTGTGGTATAAAATAAAATAGAAGAGTAGAAAAGTATTAAATAAAATAAGTTGTTTTTTAAAGAAAATCTGTGGTTTCGTTGACCTCCCCAGAGATAGTTATACAAGAAATGTTCGTAAACCTTGTGTTAATACTCCGTAAAGTAAAATTGCAGTAGATAATAAACATGGAGGGAGGAATAAAAAAAAAAAAACGTTAAGGTTAAGTCGGAGGATCGGCGACTTATTAACGGAACAGTGGAAACAGGAAATAAAATGAATAATAATTGTCGATCTGCGAGGATATTTCGGTAGCGGTTTCGGTAAATACTCGTGCAAATAGAGAGAGATAAAGATAGAGTGATAGAGATAGGCTCAAGGAGAAGAGAGAGGAGCAGACGGTCGTTGCGCGGAACGTTCGTCGGATATTAATTTCACGGTATAATCTCGCGTTATAAAAATAAATTACGACCGTGGAACGAGCAAAGGTATCTGGTGGATTAAGTAACAAAACGTTCCCGGGGACTCGGGGGGGGGGGGGGGGGGGGGGGGGCGGGCCTCACTCGTTCGCCGTTCGAATCTTCTCCGTTCGATCGAGAACCGTCCCGTCGGATGCGTCCCACAGTGGAACGTAACTAAGGAAAAATCGTACATTCATAGATGCAACTTTAGCTCTACTACTTTTTCTACATTATTAACCGGTTTAACACGCAGAATAATTATAGTTCATAATACCATCACCATCGTGTTACAAAATTAAATAAATTGCATAATTACTTATGAACAATAATGATAAACACCGAATCTAGTAAGATCTGAATCACGAATCGTTGCATGTGCATTTCAGAATGTAAGTTTTTTGTTTAAACTTAATAAATATTCACTTTTTTAACTTAATAAATATTCACATAATTGTGGAAAAAAATGTCACAATTCATACATCATTTTATGCTCTTTAATATAATGTCATCCAATACTATTTTTAACTTAATACTATTTTTTCTACTTAAAGTGTCGAAAAAAAGTATAAATGGCGATAGTTTATAATAGACTGACTCTTCTAGTATTACTTTTATAAAGAAATTTGACTGATTTCAACAAAACGAAAAATGATCAAATGTCCGAGAATTTCTTATGATCGGTCCACTGTGCGTCCTCGGCGATCGAAGACCCGCGTGACCGAACGGTAAGTCGAGGAAGCGAGAAAAACGACTATAAATCCCGCGTGTAGTACCGCTATCAACGTGTATCACATAGGCGACAGCGTCGTGGTGTTGTTTGACGAATCGCTGGATGCAAATTATTATGTCTTTGTGTGTGCAGAGCGACACGATGAGAGTGTCGAGTCGAGCGAGTTCTGGTCGGTGAACGCCTGGTGTACTTGCAATCGGACTGCTATTTTACCACGATAATTTCGATTCACGTGGAATACAGTGACAGTAACGTAATATACAGGGAAAAAATAGGAAGGGAAGAAAAATATACATATAACTTATATGATACAAGTGATATCCAGTGTTGTGTCTTTTCGCGAAACGGGGGAAAAATACGAGCCAATCGAGTGTCTTAATAACCCTGAATCGACGAAATCGACCGACGTAGTATTAAAGTAAAAAAAATATTGAGACCTTTGGTTAATTCTCGAACGACGCGATAATGATGCGTTCTACACCCTCCTCCCGGTTCACGCGATATTCGGACATCTCATGCGCGATCGGAGCTTTCTTTTTTTTTTTCTTTATTTTTTCTCGGGACGGGCACACGGTAGTATATGTATATTCGAATTGCAGGATATCTGCTTGCTACTATATAGCGCGTGAACGCGTACCGATCGCAACCGCAGATATCGGAGATATATTCACGGAGATAATCTTGTCGCTAATAAAAATTGCATTTAATTACGCTTTCCCAAGGATCCACGCGGCGACGACTCGTATATATTCCCCTCAAAGGAACCTCGACCTTAATAACCGCGCTAAAAGATCGATAACGGGACCCCTGCTTGTTAAATAAGCGATCCTCCTTAAATAAAGTGATCCCTCGATGAATGCGACACGAGCAACGGCGTTATTCCCATCACTGGTGGAGTCCCTATGTGGAACCAATCAGAACAGAGTAAACAGAAGCTAAGCAGAGCTTAGTAGGATGCTTCGAAACGAACCTGAATATGTCGCACTTATCGAGACATTATTGTATTATCTATCATTCGGCGCAGATTGTTTACGTTTGATAAGGTATAGTAGTGTTTTATTAGTAGATTTCTGCCTTGCCACGAATTCTCCAAAGTGGACCGTATATCGCACTCATCGAAACATTACTGTACTTCACGAACGGTCCCCCGAACGGTGTCCATCCGTACGATTCGTGTTCGTTCCCCTTTCGTCGTCGCTCCGAACTTTGCATTTTTTCGGACTAACAGTAATGTCTCGATGAGTGCAACGTACCTCGCTTCAGAGCATTTATGGCATGGCGGAAAGATTTTCAGCCCCTTATAAATTTGTTTTTCCCTGAAGTTGAGTCTCTGCTGAGTTTTCGGTTACCCCGTTTTGATTGGTCCCAGTGGTGGGAATAACGCCGTTGTTCGTGTCGCATTAATCAAGGAATCACTGTACTACGACTGGAGAGAACGCAAAACCGTGATCGACAAACGATACCGACGCTCTCCCTGAACTACTACGGTTATAATCAATTCGAGCGAGATCCAGGGGATAGTGACGTGTACGTAAAACAGTACTTACAATACACACTTTATGTATACCGTCCAAAGTTGACTGCAAGTAACATTATTCTTGGAAAATTTGTAGAGTCCTCTTTGTAGTGGCCACAGTGAAAAAAAGTCACACAGAATCGCGTGGGGAAAAGTTCGAGTGTTACGTGTGCACTTGGACGCGCGTGAGTTACCTGACACACACACACACACACACACACACCTGTATATTACACCGGCGGAGAAACTTTATTGTTCCGTTTCGCGACATTGTTTTTGACAGGAAATCGATACGGCGACTAGTCCCGTTCGACCGACCGTGCATAACCGATCGTGGTTGAAGCTCGACGTTTAAGTTCTTCTCGAGGAAAGGGTAGGTAGCAGTCGACGGCCACGATATTGTGCCTTCGTAAAACACAATTAAGTTGTACAGATACCTGTTTCTTCGGTATTGTCGATAGTTAACTTCGTGCAATGTCGATTTGGAATGGATTACCCTGTTGTTTAATTCTAGAGTAATGTCTCGATAAGTGCGACATCCCCCGTGATCCCCCTCGATGAGTTCTCAGCCCCGATAAATTTGTTTTTTTTTTTTTTTACACGAAGTCAAGTCTTTGCTTAGGTTCTGTTTACTCAATTTTGATTAATTCCCCCCTCCCCCTCCCCCAGTAGTGGGAATAACAACCATTGGTATGGTTACAAGAATAGGAGACCGTATTAGACGTTTAATTTTACGAGGACGCAATATTATCTAGGGGTAATACTCGTCTATACAGGGTGTAAGAAATGTGTTGGACGACCCTGAAATGGGTCACTCGTGAAGTGATTTGGAACAACTTTTTCCTTAGCAAAAATGCTACCCGAGGCTTTGTTAAGATATTAACGAAAAACCCTGACCAATCGTTAATATCTCGTTAACAATTTACTTTATAACATTTTTTCTAAGTACAAAATTTGTTCCAAATCCAGGGAGCTATAACACTTTTGTTACACCCTGTATAATATACGTCGATGAAACACAAAATTCGAAAGGTTCGGCCGCTATATTTTCGGGCGAACAGGCGTGGCTCGACACCTTACAGGTGTTCGTCGTTTCTCGATCGATCGGTAAGAAATTACACTCTCCAAGTACCTGTTGCGAGATCGATGGGGGAAACGATCGTGAAACGAACTCGTCTCGGCTCGCGTTGCAATGCAAATTTCAGGATACTATTTCCGTTTCTCGTTGTCGATTATTAGATAAGTAATGATAAGTGGCGGTGCTCGCGCGCGCGATCGCGAACGACCGGTTCCCCCCCCCCCCCAGAAGACTTATTGCCCGTCGTCGCCTGTTAACGTTCGAAACTCGAACGGGATTTATCATCGGTGGGCTTCCACCTATTCCCCGAGACCTCTAATTGAGACTTTATAAATCACACTGTCCTCGATATGCGGTCATATATCCCGTCGTTTCAAGCTTTCCACCGTTTTCTTGTTTTCAGATCGTCCTGAACTCGATGCACAGATACCAGCCGAGGATACACCTGATACGTTGCCGGCAAACCGACGACAACAATCTTCACATCACCGATCTACAGAAAGAGGAGCACAAAACGTTTATATTCCCCGAGGCGATTTTCACCGCGGTGACCGCCTATCAGAATCAGTTGGTGAGTGAACGATCGCGATTTTTTTTCATGGTTTTCATGGAAATCGGACTAATTGTTGTCATTGTGAAACGTTACTGGATTATTTAACACGTTCACTGCCACAGTGAAAAAAGGTCGTTCGTAGCCAGTTTACTGTATTTCGTTTTTTAAGTTATAAATAGTCGAAAGTGTATGCGTTTAGTCAATAGAGGTCGGTTGTCTTGTTTTATATTATACTGTGACATTAATTTTAACGTGTTGATATACGTCGTCTTTATCGAGGCAGATGGTAAAGATAGAACGATGGGGATAAGTCCTTGTTAGTATAATATAAAAAAGTATCGGTATTGAAATAGTTACGGAAAACGTATATACAAGGTGTCCCAGTATTGATGGTACAACTAGGGGCTGATTCCACATGAGAAGATAAGTCGAAAATGTAGAATAAAAGTTTGATATCCGAGGCTTAGTTTTCGAGAAAATGGAATTTGAAGATTCATCTGTAACACGTATATTCGACATGATAGTAAGTAGAAACGGAATGCAGTGAACAGACGCGTTAGCAGTAGTCTTATTCAATGGTACGCGTATCCAGTAGATTTTTAAGGTCGATTTTCTCGAGAACGTAGCCTGAAATGAATGATCCCGTTTTCGGAAGAGAAGTTTAGTAGATAAGATAGTGGACTTATTTCTCTCGGATTATCTCACTTTATCGTGCAAAATTAGTCCAGTTTCACGGTTCGAATAAACGATTATACATACATATGTCCAGGAAGCAGCAACGACCCAATTACTTTAACGTGTGTACGGGGGAAATGTTGCAGATAACGAAGCTGAAGATCGACAGCAACCCGTTCGCCAAAGGTTTCCGGGACTCGTCCAGGCTCACGGATTTCGATCGGTAGGTAGTGAGAGAAACGAACTAACGAAAAATCGATTCTCGGAGCAAATAATCAATTCTCAGAAACAATCGAACTGCGGATAATTAATTCACAGGATCGATTTTTTGAAGAATTGAATATCGTTGGTTGACCACACCACCTCTGTTATATATCTACAGGGTGTAACAAAAATATTGGAAGACCCGGAAATAAATAAATAAATAAATAAAAATGGGAGATTCGTGAGGTGATTTGAAACAAGTTTTTCCTTAGCAAAAATGTTCTCCGAGGCTTTGTTAACGAGATATTAACGAAAAACCCTGACCAATCAGAGCGCGAGGTTGGCTACGCGCTGCGATTGGTAGCCAACGTTACCGCGGGAACTCGGCCGGCAGACTCGCGCCCTGATTCGTCGGGGTTTTTCGTTAATATCTCGTCAACAAAGCCTCGGAGAACATTTTTGCTAAGGAAAAACTTGTTTCAAATCACCTCGCGAGTCTGCCATTTCTAGGTGCTCCAACATTTTCGTTACACCCTGTATATACCATCTATATACCAACACAACGCGTTCTGGAATTGATTCGTCTCCAGCGCGTATGCCTTTCAAAGGGTGACTAAAAACGCGCGGCATACAGTCGATGAAACCGTCGCGAAACGATCATTACGCGCCATTATAACGTCGGCGTCTTAATCATAACGCCGCGATCGAATTATCGGGCACGATCTTTTTTTTCGATTCCTCGTTAAAAGTGGAAATTTATACAACGCGCTAAATGTGTCGATGGTTGGGGAGGAGAAAAAGGAGGAAGGGCGTTTCGATCCCGAATAAACGTGTGCGCGCAGAACCAGCCGATTCCCCGAGTTTTATCCCGCGATCATCTATCTACATGAATGACGATGCACCTGCTCCCTCCTCGCTTTAGTCGACTCGCCTCGGCCCACGGAACACCTCGAGCCGCGTTTATGACCGGGGCGGATACACGCGTGACAGAAAAGAATTTTTTACACCGGTGTAGGTATATCTGTATGCGCGTGCTGGCCGCGTCGAAGGATTATCGTTAACGGGCGTCAAAGTGACGCTCCAATAAGCAACGTTTTTCACTAATCGTCCCGTGACGTGAAACATTGTTTTCCTACCGTCGATGTATTTTCGCCCGGAGGAACGATCGATTTCGGTTCAATTGGCTGTGTATCTAGGTATACACAGTTGAAGTTTGAACGGTTTTGTACGATTTAGGATGATCCGAACGACACTCGACACAGATTACACGCACGTCGGTATACGATGCCGTCTCGAATACGGCTGTTCGCGGCCGTTTGTCTTCAATTAACGGGGGCCGGCGCGGCGAACGGTGGCCGACTGGGTGCGAATACGCCCACTAAATCGTTTACGCCTGATCTCCGAGGATCCTCTACGGATCGCGAGTCAAGGTTTTATGCAAATGTCTCTCTACTCGAGTGTACGTATTCGTGTGTATATATGAAAGATGGTGTGTGTGCGTTTGGTGTCGGAGAATCGATAACGGCCACCCAATAAAGTCGTCTTCTGGTAGGTTCGTGCACGGTGGCCACGGTCGGGCTCCTAGTGATGGGCGATATATGTGAATTGTATCGATATTTCGTATCGGTACGTATCGGTGGGCAAAATATAGATACGCCTGAAATAACAGAAGCGAAGTATCGATATCGTCAGTATCGATTGTTGATACTTTTAAACTGTACTAAAAAAAGGCCTAAATAAATGGCTATCGTCATATTAAGTATCGATACAACGATACATCGTCATATTCAGTATCGAAACAACGAAACATCGTCATATTCAGTATCGATACAACGATACATCGTCATATTAAGAATCGATACAACGATACATCGTCATATTCAGTATCGATACAACGATACATCGTCATATTAAGAATCGATACAACGATACATCGTCGTATTCAGTATCGATACAACGATACATCGCCATATTAGGAATCGATACAACGATACATAATCATATTAAGAATCGATACAACGATACATCGTAATATTCAGTATCGATACAACGATACATCGTCATATTAAGAATCGATACAACGATACATAGTCATATTAAGAATCGATACAACGATACATCGTAATATTTAGTATCGATACAACGATACATCGTCATATTCAGTATCGATACAACGATACATCGTCATATTAAGAATCGATACAACGATACATCGCCATATTAAGAATCTATACAACGATACATCGCCATATTAAGAATCGATACAACGATACATCGTAATATTCAGTATCGATACAACGATACATCGTCATATTAAGAATCGATACAACGATACATCGTCATATTAAGAATCGATACAACGATACATCGTCATATTAAGAATCGATACAACGATACATCGTAATATTCAGTATCGATACAACGATACATCGTCATATTACGAATCGATACAACGATACATCGCCATATTAAGAATCGATACAACGATACAAAATTAGGATTCAAAAGTATCGATATTCCAATATACCGATACAGTATCGCCCATCACTATACGCATCTCTCCAGTATCCTCGTGGGTTTCTTTCGCGTCCTCCCGCAGAAGCGAGAGATATCGCGAGCCCCGGCGGCGGCGAGCACATTCGCCAGGTCATATACGTATCCGTATTTACATTCGTGCCTCGTCCTTTGCTCCTCTCTCGTGTCGTCGAACGATCGGTGTAACGCCGCCGTCTGCGGCGACACACCTGCCAGTACGGCGGCGGGGATCGTGCAACTGATACGATTAAATAATTTGTTCGCCCGTAATGGAGTAATAATTAAAAGATTTTAGTACCGTCTCGGGATCCGCACTCTCGTTAAAAGAAGTCATTATCGGATACACACACACGCACACACACACGCACAGACTCGGTAAGTGTAGACGTTCGCCAAGTCGTTTGGTTTCGTTATCGCGCCTCAGATTTCGGTCAGGGTCGATCGTCTCAACCGTGTTGGTTCGAGTTTACCTACAGGTACATACTCGAATCGAAATCTGGAAAGACAGTACAAAATGCTCTCGACCCGAAAGAATCATCGTGTGTTCGTGTCGAGTAGATTCCTCTCGCTGGAGACTCCTTTCGTATACCTGACAGCCAGCCTCTTTCTCGTTCTTCCCGAGGAAGAACGGTTCTCGCCCCGGTAATCACGTGCAAATCGGAGGCGTGTCGGAGGAACTCTCCGAGTCGAACCGCAAAAGTCCTCCCGCTCGACTAATGCGTTCAGCCGCCGCGCGATTTTTAACGCGCTCGCGCGCGCGTTTCCGAGAACCTGGCTGGTGGTGGGCGTGTTCCCAAGAGGCTTTTCAACGTTTTTCGTGCAAACGTCAAACCGAAGAAGAACAAGAAGAAGAAGAAAGTGGTCGGAACCGAAGTGTAGTCAACGAAAGGGTACGAGGACTCGTCGACGTGTCTCTTCGACAGGGCGAGAAGAAAAAGAGAGATAGCTTTCCAATTCTCGAAAGAGCCCCACAGGTTTCATATTCAGTGACGGAGAGAGGGCACTCTCGATTTTTCGGCCCGATCGATGGGAAGAGGAAAGATACGTGGGGTGTGTGGGCCCGTTGTTTGCCTAGTGTAAATTCGACTTTTAACGGCTCGACGCGACGTTATGCCCGTCGATCGAGAGAGACCACTTTAATGACACGGCAGTTTGGAGAAAAGACGATCGTTCCGAAATCACTGGCCCCGTCCACCACACGACCCTCCTCAAATCAGCACCTGCCTAACCGAGATCACGAGAAATCTTGCTCCGTCATTCCATCGGGCAACCTGCCGTCCCGTCGCCGTTACAACTTCTCGGTTCGTCTCCGGTTAATCGGTAGAACACGTATCGCTGCGTTGTTTGAACGTTTTCCATGGAAAGAATGTCAATCTTCTTTCCTACGAACAGAAACAGCAAACGATTCTTGTGATCCGTGAAATGCAACGGGAAAAGGTAACAAAAAAAACGGGCAGTATAAAGAATCGACGGGTGATCATCGTGGTCGAAAAGCAGTATTACCGGGTATCAAAGGTCTCTTTCTTTCTCTCTGTCTCTCCCCTGGTATGGTCGCACGGCGCGATTCCGAGCTCCGGAACGTATCGAGCGCGATAAGAGGGTATGCAAGATCGAAGAAAACGGTTCGATTCGGTCGGTTAAAAGGGAACGGCGGCCGGGGGAACGGAAGGGAACGCGCCGCCGCGCGGCTTTGGCGGTTACGGCAGTCGTGTTCGGCTGCACGGATGCGGCTCTGGCGGCGTCCGGAGTTAATGAGAGAGCGGCCGTACGGGGCAATACGGCGCATGCTCCCGCCCACTTCACGCCGCCGCTGATAGATAGATGCCCCTCCGGCTCTTTTTCCCTTCTCTTTCTCTCTCTCTCTCTCAAACTCTCTCTCTCTCTTTTCTTTTTTCTTCCTATGTCTCTTTCTCTTTTTCTTCCTCCCTATCTTTCTTGTTTTCGTTCTGTTCCTTGAGAGGGTGAGCCCTAACGTCACCCCTCAACCTCACCCCCTCTCACCCCACCTCATCCCTTTCTCTGTTCCTCGAACGATTCGGGGTCCCCTTTCCTCCTGGTTCCTCCAGCCCTCTCCTCTCTTTCTTCGCTTTTGCCGACCATCATCGGGGGGGCCCGCCGCCGCGTTCGCGCATACGTGCCCTGCAAAAAAGGCCCCGAAATCGTTGTTATAAAGATATTACGGTAACATCGAAAATTTAAGGTAACCGTTTATAAAAACGTGCCTCGTCGTCCCTGGACTCCATCGTGGCTCCGCATCAGTCGAAATTTCTACTCGGAGGTCAGCCGCCCTGAGACACGAAATATAGTGTTTCGATCTGTCTCGGGCGAGACCGTGGCGATCCTGCGTGCGACATGTTGTTCCTTTAACTTGTTGAATGACTACGACGAATAGATTCGTCAACTGCATTCTTACATCACAATGCCGACACGGATGTATTCGCATCAAGTAACGTATATATATATATGCAAGCGCTGACAAAATCG